CTGCCCGGCTGGCAGGGGCTGGAGCGCAGGTTTGGAGCTGGGCTGGGGAGGGATCCAGGCTGGAGTCAGAACTGATGATAGCACAACAGCCCTGGCCTCCTGCTGCAGTGAAACTCCTGGAAAAACAGCATTTAAACCCAAACCAAGCACCCTCAGAGCAGCCTTTCCAAGGGGGACAAAGGACAAAGGTGGCGGCTCCGTGAAATTCAGTATTGTTAGGAAGCTCTTGGGTGCCGTGCTGGGATGTAACAGCCCCTAAGGCTGCTGCTTTGAGCTCAGAAACAGGGAATGAGTGAAAACTCTGTTAGTGACTGAGGATGCAGGGAATATCAGCTCTCCCCAGCCTTGGCAGGCATGGAGATAAAGAATCCACAGAGATTACAATATTAAAGCATGTTTTGAATTTAACTAGCACATTATTTTTGGGGTCAGAGAGGTGCATCAAGAGCAGACTTCCCTGATGTGTTAAGAATGAAATCAGCAAAGCAAAGTGATTTATTATTAGGAATGATTTCAGAACCAGCAAAGAACTACTGCAAAATGGCTGGCCAACTACAAATAACAGTATTTCTTTTTCCGTTTCTTCAACAGCTGAAGACACTTCACAAACATTCCTCCATGGAGAGTTTGATGGTGGAGACAGTGCTGGAGAGTTTTGATTTCCTGAACAATGACTGCAGTGCAGACGAGCTCTCCCTGTTTGGGAGCGTGAGGACAGGCAGTGTCAGGTACTGCACCTCGTGGGACAGGCAAAGGGTCCCACAGCAGCCTCACAGGGCTGGGAAACAGCTGCGGGTCAGATCCAGCACAGAAATGCCTGACCCTGGTTTTGGAGAGAGTAATAAATACAAATAGTTACAGAAAATGCTGGTTTCCGTTCAGTGCCACCTGGTTTCTTTCACAGCTCCTGTTGAGACTGTCCATTTCAGTTCTGTGCAGAGATGAGATCTGTAACTCTCTCTTCCCCTCTCTCACCAGCACATACAATGACAACGTGCTGCAGCCCCTGGGCTGTGACTCCAGGCCAGAAGCCCAGGATGTAACCACGGGGGATGAGAACCTGGACGTGCTGCTGGTTACACACCTGAGGCTGTGCAAAGCTCTCCTGCAGGTACAGAGCAGCCTGGGGCTCCCGCTGCCGCTGCTGGTTCTGATTACAGCAGAACTGGATGTTTGGTTTGTTTGATAACAGAGAGAGGCTCAGAATGGAAACTGGGTGCATTAATGCTGGGTACACTTGTGTTCACACAGAAAGGGCCATGCCAAACTCTGCTGCTCCTCTCAGCCTCTGGGTTTTGCTGAAGCCCTGAGCAGCAGCTCTGTGCCCAAAGCAGGCTGCAAACACACAGGCTTGGCTTGGCTCAGGCTGTGTTTAATGAATGGAAACTGCTACAACAGGGAGCAGGTGGGCAAGGGGCTTCTGAGAGCAGAGGGGGTTCCTCACTTGTCTTAAAAGTTGGATACTGAGAAATAAATCCTCATTTATCTGGAACTTGATCCTGCCCTTGTTTCAGCTCCTGAGTTATGTCTGTTGCCTTTCAGAAACTGAGGACCCCAAACGTAGCCCAGGTGGTCCAGGAGAGCATTTTGGAAGAAGTGTCAGAGCAGACACAAGTCTTGGGGGATGTCCTGGATCTGTCTGCAGAGAAAAGTGAGTGCCTGCCCTTCCCCAGGCATGCAGAGATGGGAGAGCTGCACCCCTGGGCTTCTGCTGGAGCCTCCCCAGGCCCAGGGCTTTCCTTCTAAATTCCTTGCCAACATGGGCATCATTAAACCAGCTCATCATTAAACCAGGGCTCATTCTTTGGGTCATTCTTTCTTCTACACAGAAGGAAAAAATTTGGAAAAGTTGGTCTCAGAGTAGCTGAACTGGTATGTTTTAAACAAGGCTGTTGTAGATGGTCAAAGAGCAGCAGAGCAGCCTTAATAAAATCCCCTTTTACATCTGTACTTTTCCTTTGGGTCAGCAAACAGCCCAAATTCTGTGCCCACTTGCCAGAACAGTTTGGTGGGCACAGGATTTTGTCTCAGGTCTTCCCACTACTAAATTCTTCCATTGGCTGTTGGACATGACAAAATGCTAAAGCACAATGAGAGGCTTGGGAGACTTTTGTTCTCATCTTGGTAAACGCAGCAGCAAGAATGCAAATTTTAGTTGGAAGCATTTGGTGCCAGATTTTATCCTGGAGCTGTGAGAATGAGCTGTTCCTGAGCAGGGCTGGTGCAGAGTGATGGGGAAGTGGGGGAGGCTGACAGGCAGGGGCTCCGTGCCTGGAGGGGAAAGTGAGGGATGGAGGGTCCATGTGAGGAGCCACCAAATGAGGGTCCCCACGTGAGGAGCCATCAAATGAGGGTCCACATGAGCTCCTGAAGAGCTGCACGTGCTCTTGTGAAGAGCCTGAGAGCCCCAAGGGCAGAGCTCTGCCCTGGGCAAGGAACAGAGGCAGCATCCCCAAAACCCGTGGCAGTGGCACCTCCTTGGCTGAGAGAAGGGCAGCCCCTTGAACTCCCAGGACGTTCTTCTGGAACTGACTCAGAGATAAAGGGAACAATAAGAGGCAAAAGAGCTGCCCATGGCAGTTCAGGAGCTCAGTGCTTGCAGCTGTGAACATTTGGGCAGCAAATATCTAGTTTTTAACAAAACCATCTCTAATACAAATACAAGTTAGTGCTGCCCCAATCCAGATAGGCCATCTGCTGCCTAATTTCTGATGTAAAATCCCAAAGCTGTTAGAGCTCGCTGACTTTTTAAAATGTTGGGTTTCAGTTATTCAGAAGGCTAAAAAGAAGAAGCAATACCTGAAAATCTGGAGTGATCTTGCAGAGCCTGGCAGCAGCATCTTGGTGACCTCGGCAGAAAGGTTCCGTCATGCTCTGAAATACACAATGATGCTCAAAGTGAAGGAGAAGTACCCCAGCCACCTGGAGACAGGTACCCCGTGGGCACCAGGCCAGGCTGCCTTCATTGCAGCGCTGGAAATTGTACTTGTGCATTTAAAAAACCCAAACCTTAAAATGTCCCTGTGCATTTAAAAACCCCAAACCCAAAGCTCTCGCTCGCTTCCAGCAGCTGCCAGGTAACCCACCTGCTGTTTTGTGTCTGTCCTGCTCCCTTCTCCCCGCAGTGCTGCAGAGGCTGCTGGAGCAGATCCTCACCTGCGATGGGCTGCTGCCCTCCTGCCACCTGCAAGCGGAGCCGGTGACTCTGTTCCAGTTCTATCGCTACCTGGAGAGGCACCGCATCGGCAGCCTGGAGAAGCACCTGGCCAAGCTGGCCAAGGAAGGTAAAGGCGGCGCTTGGCTCCTCCTGCAGGGCAGGCTCCAGATGCAGCTCCGGAGCAGGAAACAGCCCAGCCCCTGCACTGACAGCTTGTTTCCGTTCCTACTGCCCTTATGACCGTGCAGTTTAATCAGAACAGGAAAAGCGTGCTTGACTCCCGTGTGTGAGCATGTGCAAACAAACCCCCTGTGAAGGATGGGCTTATCTCGAGTGCCCTGAAAATAGTTCTGGGATATTCCAAAGCTGAAGCAGGCACACAGTCAGGAGCCGCCTCCAGCTGGATCCAAGGACTGAGCACAGTCTGTGCCTTGGGTCACTGCTGTAGCTGGACTCAGACACAGAAAAGAGCAATAAAACTGCAGAGGTTTCTGACCTGCATTTCGTAGCCTGAGGTAGCCAGTGCCTCACTGGAGTCTTGTCCAACATGTGAAAGTACTCCACAGCTTTCTCTGTACTAAGAAAGAATTATTTAAAAATAGTCCTGGTACTGGCTGCATCTTCAGGCATGTGCTGATGCAGAGGAGTCGTGTGGAGGGGTGTGTGTCCTGGGGTCTGTGTGTGTGTCCCGGGTCTGGCTGGGGGTCTGTGTGTGTGTCCCGGGAT